AGTGCACTTCGTGCGTCCGTTATACTCTCTTGCACTCGTCGGTAAGATCGATCACCACCGTATACTGTTGCGTTTCGACCGGCTCGGGTTTCAAGGGCACCAAATGCCTACACGCCATCCCCAGCCCGAAGATTGTCCCCGATCTTTCCTCCGTCAAAGAGCGTTTCGAACTCGCCGCTGGTGAGCCATATACGCGACACAAGGCCGCCGGGTTCACGCTGGAACTCCACCTCGTGCTGGGTCTAATATCGCCCGGCTCGGTTGCGGACCTTGCGCTGTCCCCTTTCAACAATTGTGCCTGCGGTAGCGGTCTGTAGTAAGTCATCAATGGTCGGCAGTCTACGTACTTGTCCACATACTCGAAGTGCTCGAGTAACCCCACCGCCGTCATGGCCATTCGATCCTCCTTGTCGTCCCGGACTTGGGAGCCGTATGGCACCTATATCGACCCGTTTTCTTTCCTTAGAGCGTTCGTCAAGGCCTGCGGTCTCCTCACCGCCTGGTAGCCGGCTATCTGTAACTGGATCCACTTCTTCGCGGGCTGAAGCTTCCGACTGGTGATGTAAAGCGTCCCGACGAGCTGCTCTCGCTTCGCGGGCTTCTTTCCCCGCGCGTTGCTTCGCCTGCTGCTCTTCTTGGCCATCTGGCCGCGTCTCGGTAATAGTGTTCCTTCTTCGATACTTCAGGCGTCGTGAGGGCCGGTCTCGGGCTGACGTGCGACTGAGCTACCATATCCTTCCAGACTTTGTGGAACCTTTCGACTAGCCCCAGCAGCATAGGTCGGTAGGGTACGGGTGTGGTCTGTCGAGCTTGCAGTAATTGTACCAGTTTCGTCACTATGAGCCCATTCAATTCCGGAGCTCCGTCCATGAGGATTTCCCGCATAGGTCCGTACACTAGAACCACTCGTTCAGCGATGAAACGCGCAACGTCCTCGGCCGTGTGGGCAGATACTGCTACTGTTACTGCATATCTGCTGGCGTAGTCAATTGCGGCTATAACATATCGATTCCCCCTCGAGGTGACTGGCAAGGGTCCAGCGATGTCCACGGCCCACCGATCACTCACGTCACCGACTCCCTGACTCCGCAGTGGCGGAATGACAGCCTTTGGCTGCGTTTTCCGCGTAGCACAATCCCGACAACTACGAACCCAATGCTTCACCTGGTCCCTCATGTCCGGCCACCAGTACGTTCGTTCTAGTCGCGTGTAAGTCTGAGGAGTTCGCAGATGGCAGGCGTAGATAGAATCGTGCGCTTCCCTCAAACCTTTGGCCCGTAGTGCCGCGGGCAGTACCACTCGTAATGAACCGTCATCCTTCCGCAAGTAAGCTAACGCGTTCTTTGTGGCTATCGCACAGCCACGGTAGACTCGTTGTCCCCTCAGCTTCCGTACGAACTTATCCTCACGCTGATACCGGAGGATTTCCATGTCAGTCAACTGTCCACTCTCCTTATCGCTGTCGGGATGGTTTCCCGATGCACCTGTTCCTAAGGTTACGGATCCGTCGTTCACCAGTGTCGCGGAGCTCAATTGCGAATTCTCAGCAGGGGTTAGACTCCGCGTGGCGGTCACTGCACGTACCGGGGCACGTGATAGTGCGTCCGCCACGACGTTGGTTGACCCAGGCCGGTAAACGATATTAAAGTCAAATTCCTGAAGCTGTAGAGCCCACCGATATGGTCGTCCAGTAAGATCCTTCTTCTTCATGAGGTATGATAACGCCGAATGATCCGTTACGAGCTCGAACCGCCGTCCATACAGGTACGGTCGAAAGAGCTTGACTGCCCAAATGACAGCCGCACACTCTAAGTCGGTGATCCCGTACTTAGCCACGGTAGGAGAGTTTACTTTCGAAGCGTAAGCCACCGGTTGGTCACCCAGTCCCTGATCCTGCATCAAAGCGGCGCCCAGGCCTACTACAGAGGCGTCGGTGACTAGTTTGAAGGGCTTGGAGAAGTCAGGATACACCAACAGCGGCCTCTCCGTCAACTCCTCCTTCAGCAACTCAAATGCGTCTTGTTGTTCTTTTCCCCAGACCCACTCTGTCTTCTTCCTGAGTAACTTCGTCAATGGTGCCGCTTTAGACCCGAAATGCGCTACAAATCGTCGATAATACCCTGCAGGATGAACAAACCGGCGTACATCTTCCGGCGTTTCCGGTGTTGGGAACCTCCGTACAGTAGCTACCAGAGATTCAAGCGGTCGAATGCCGTCTGCGTCCAACTCGTGCCCCTAGTACTCTAGTCGAGTCATCGCAAAGCTGCATTTCTTGGGTTTGAGAGACAGCCCCGCCTTCGACAGTCGCTCTAACACGCAAGCTAACTCGACCACATGCCGAGAAACAGATCCAGCTGTGAAGAAGATGACGTCGTCGAGATAAACCAAACAGCTCTTCCACGTTAAACCGCGGAGCACCGCGTCCATCATCCTCTGAAAGGTTCCCGGAGCATTGGCGAGACCGAATGGCATCCGGACGAATTGAAACAACCCCTGTCTAGTGACGAAGCCAGTCTTGGTCTTATCCTTTTCAGCTACGGGTACTTGCCAGTATCCTGCGTGTAGGTCCAGACTCGAGTATCTCCTTGCGCCATGCATCATGTACGGGCTTCGTCAATCCGGGGCAGCGGATAAACGTCTTTCTTCGTGATGTTATTAAGTAGTCTGTAATCTATGCAGAATCAAACGGTGCCATCTTTCTTCCGCACGAGTACAACAGGAAAACCCCACGCCCCCGTCCCTTCTTCGATCACACCGTCGTGCAACATGTTGCCGACTTCCTTGTCAATGACTTCCTGTTCGGATCGCGAGTACCGTCGTGAACGCATCTTTATTGGTGCTGCATTCCCCGTGTTAATGTGGTGTTCCACACCCAGAGTCGTAGCAGGAGGACAGCCCTCCTTCGGTTCCAACAGGTCGGGGTAATTCCTTAACAGCTTCAACAACAGTTCCCGGTCCTCGTTCGTCATGTCACCAAGGGTCAAGGTCTCTTCATTACTTAGCGTCTCCCTTCTCAGGCTGATCTCGTCCAACCACTTGTTCACCCGCTCAGGCTCGAGTTCTCCTTTCAGCTCAAGAATCTCCATCTCATCACGGAGTGGTGTCCAAGTTCCCAGGGCTTCACGACTAGGAAGCTTCGTCGTCTTCCCCATCAAATTCAGGATCGGAACCTTCACCCGACCGGACGTCACCTTGGTTACCGTTGGGGCCACCAGCAAGTAAGGCTCCTTACGCTTCCGGGGTTGGAATAAGCCCACAGTTCCATCTGGTTCAGAGACAGCGAGCTCCACGTTATGGCATGTCTGCGCCTGTACTTTCGCCTTCTTTAGGAGCCTAACTTTAGCGAGCCGTTTCCGTTGCTCACGAGTTCCAACTCCGGTGAAGGGAAGAACCTTCTTCACGTCACCATCATACCACTTCATTTCTCCAACGACGAAGTCGATCTTAACTCCCTGGTCGTACATCCAGTCTTCTCCAATGAGGAAGTCCGTCGTATCGTTGTCTACGATAAGTGCATCCAACGTCATTTTCTGTGAGTACTGCGTCCACAGAACGAACCGCCAGACACCCAGCACTCTTACTGAAACTCCACTGAATCCCTCCATGAAGTCCACCGGTGGCGGCATGTGTATCCGCTCCCCGTGCTCACACCAACTGCGACCAGCGACACTGTATTGGGCTCCTGTGTCGAGTTTCACTGACTGGGTAACGCCTCGAACCTTCACCGTAGCCGTTGGTAGCTGATCAATGGCAGGAGCTTGTACGGCCCGCAGTTTTCCAGTCTTGCAGTGTCTTCCTGCCGCGGAACTCCACTGTGTGCTCGGGCTACTGTATGTACTGCCACTCTGGTACTTGTACACCTTCTTCAATTGCTTGTTGTTTCCCCGCTTCACGGTCTTGACTGTACGCGGCTTCTGGTAGGCCAGTGAAGACATGGTAAGTTCCTGTATAGCCGCAGCGTGCCCTCCCGTTTGGCGGTGTTCATCGTAACTGTAGAAGCTGCCTGCCGGGTACTGTCGCTGAGGGTCTCGCCGTTCGTTCATCCTACGCTCTTTGGCCCTTGCCTTCCGCACGCGCCGTTCTTGTCGTCTCCGAGCCCGCGATGCTCTCACCAACGTAACTTCCTCAGTTAGTGGTCGTTCCTCGTCGTCCAAGGGTCCCTCATTGACTTTCGCGGATTGGCTTGTCGTTCCGCGGTTGGTAGCTGGCGCTGCTACCGCCTGGGATTGTGGCGCTTTTCGTCGACCGCGCATCGTCCGGATGCAAGCCCGGCGCAACACCTTCTCCTGCTTCGCAGCTTGCGTAGTCTCCCATCGTCGATCCGCCTCCGCTTTTTGAATGTCCTCTTGCCTCTGCGCTACCTTCAGTCGTAGTGTCTTTGCCTGAGGCTCGTTGCGTCGTTGCACCTCCATCATCAACTCATTCATCAGCAGTGTGAGCGCCTCGCCATCCCCAGTCGAAGGTACCCCGTTCCACTGTCGTGGGTGGGTGCCGTTACCTGACGCGTCGCCCTGGATTTCTTCGTCTTCGTAAATCCCGCGGGTCATTGCGTCTGCGGGCTCTTCCTGCTTGCCATTAGTTCCCAGGCACCCCGCGTTCACTTGTTCCGTGGGCAGTGCTTCCAACCTGACACAGCTGGGCACTGCGGTTCTGGCCTCGGCAGTGAGGTCATTTGTCGTTGGATCCTGTCCCTTGAACGGTGCTGTCTCGCCATCCCCACGCGTTAACACCCGCTCATCTTCGAATCGCACGCGTCTGATCGTCGCCACGGGCGGTTCCACCGCCGCAACGCCCCTGGCTGGTTGGTTGCAGCCACCTGCATCCTCAACTCGTTGGTCCTCCACCCCTTGCTGGTCGGATGTGGCATCCTTCAGACGCATACCGCCGCCCAGCACCGTTGCTAGCACCTGTCGTCTTTCTCCTCCGACTTCCGGTGCCCTCGGTCTCTTTGCTGGCTGCCTCGAGTCTTGTTCCCGAGATCCCCGCTTTCTCTTTCGTCGCCGACCCCATACTTTTCCGTCCTTTACTCTCCCGCCTCGCGGTGTTTCCACCTCCTCCGCCTGTCCGTAGAAATTAGCCTCCTCCGTAGCCAAGGCGCTTTCTTCAGACGATGGACACTCTCCCTGCTCCTTACCCCGTGCAAGTTCTACAGGATGCCGAGCCGGGGCCCCTACATCCTGGACTCGTTTCCCGCACCATTGTCAGCGTTATTGTTGTTGGCGTCAGCGTTGGGTCCAACCACAGAGCTGCTCTCTTCCAAATCAGCCTTCTTCAACTCACAGGCACGCGCATGATGACCAAAGCCATGGCAATAGAAGCACATGTCGTCGGGTTTCGCTGCAGCCCTCCTTGGTACATACGGCTGCGTCCTCCTGTCCAAATACCGCTGGTGGTTCCGTAACCGATCTTCCTTGGTCCGTAAAAGCTCAGTATTTCCCCCATTACTGCCACCTGACCATCGATGCTGCGACTGTTGCTGCATCTGCCGTCCGGTGTCTTGTCCTTCCAACTTAAAGGCCTTCCCAGCACGGCGGTTTGGGTTTCCTCCTCCATCCGAGCGCTGGTTTCGCGTCGTATGTTGCCGTTGCCCGGTGTTCTGAGTTGGTCCCACAGCCTGCAGGTTGTTGGGTAGTGTCCCGTAGTCAGCTGTCACCGCCTCTTCCGGAACGAGCCGATATCCAACTGGGATCACGGTATTCCATTGTCCAGCTCCTTGAAGTACGGTGTTGTTCTTGGGTACCACCAGCCTGCCTTCGACGTCGTACTGGAAGTCCGAACGTTTCACCAGTCCGTAATTCTCGTAGCCGGAGACAACAGCGCCCAGTTCCGTAGTCCTTAGTGAAGGTCGCATTGGGGCCGCGTTCGGCACCGGTGCCACCGTCGCACGTGCCGTAGCCGCTCGCTCATCCTGAGTGCGCAAAGCCATCGCCAGGCCGACACCGTACCCTTCTCCGTATTCCCCGACTTGCTCGACGGCTTCGTTAAGTGTGGTGGGGCGGTGCCCCCGCACAAGAGTCGCGTGCCACCTGTTGCTCATACCCTCCAGAAAGGCATCTACCAACCATTCTTCTCCGACCGGATTACTGGACGAGATTACTCGCAGCTTCTGTGCATATTCCACAAGGGGCTCTCCTCGCTGCTGTCGCCGCTGTCGCAGTCTGGCAACCACTTCAGGATTCGAGCGCTGTATCATGTATCTGCCTCTCATCAACCGGCTTAAGTTCTCGAAGGTCTGGTCCTCTCGTCGGTTAAAGGAGTCCTCTACGGTGTCGTACCACAGCAGAGCTTCGCCTTCCAAATTAGCGACCATTTCGATGAAGACTTCATGCTCCCGCCACTCCGTCCGTAGGATCGCTGTCTGCCGCCGTAGCTCGTTCTTCACCGCCTTCAGCCAGGCTTTCACTGTCAGTTTGGGTTCATCTAGGCCTTTAAACTTTGGTAATCTTAGTTTCCTTTCATGACGAGGCGCTTGATAGACCCATGTAGGCGTAACCAGAGCTCCGTACGGCTGTTGTGCTACCTGTGCTGGTGGTGGAGGTGGTGGTGGTGCCATGGCAACCGGTCCCGCTGGTGTTCCACGCCTTGCATTCCCTCCATCGTCGCCACCGTCGTGGTCACTGTTGTCACTACTATCACCGTCTCCATCACTATCTCTTCCCGGATTCGCCGCGAGTCCCGGTCGTACTGGTGGTGCTCGTTGAGCTTGTGGTGCTGGTGGACCTTGCTGTCCCTGCTGAACATGGCGGACATGCAGTATCTGCCGGACGGGTGGGGCCTGCTGCTTGTCACCGCGAACGTCTGAAACATTCACCATGACCACATCATCATGGTCCTGAGCCGCCATTGGCGTGTTTCCGGTGGCTACCCTAATGTTCGATGAAGTAGCGACGACACCGCCTCTGTGACCGCGCAGTACTGCCTGGGGTTGTTTTTTTGTTGCGCGAGGCGCCCGAGGCGTGTCTGCCTGTGCCGCTCGTCGCTCCGCACGCTGATCTCTTGGGGGTGTTCGCCCGAGTCATTCCGTCGCTTGTCTGACTCCCTTCTGTAATACATCCCGCAATACTTAATTAGTACTTCTTACTTCCTTCTCACTTCCTTCTTATGTGTAGTTTCTAGCAGGGGTCTCGGTTCTAAGCCTTTGGTCTGTGCAATATCCATTCCCAGTAGATGGACCGTTATTGTCCAGTGCCCTTATTGCACCACCTCCACTGTAACGGTGTCTCTGATCCTGGTCCTTGCCCACTGTGACTAGGCTCGCGACGGTCATCCTCATGAACCTCGCCCAGAAAGCAACTGTAATGACCGCCATGTCGGCATTCTTCTCCCTTACATCGTAGAACCCAATAACAGGGGAGTCACATGGGCGAGGGAGCCTGGGCTTAGAGGTCGTTCGTCACCCGATAACTACCCACCGTCGTGCAACATGTTGCCGACTTCCTTGTCAATGACTTCCTGTTCGGATCGCGAGTACCGTCGTGAACGCATCTTTATTGGTGCTGCATTCCCCGTGTTAATGTGGTGTTCCACACCCAGAGTCGTAGCAGGAGGACAGCCCTCCTTCGGTTCCAACAGGTCGGGGTAATTCCTTAACAGCTTCAACAACAGTTCCCGGTCCTCGTTCGTCATGTCACCAAGGGTCAAGGTCTCTTCATTACTTAGCGTCTCCCTTCTC